TGACTTACTGAAACTCTGATTCGTAATTTCTAGATGCCAAAGGTTGATTCTCAGGTCGTCAGCCGACAGGTACGTCTCTTGATCAGAGTTCACCGAAATACTGTTGATATGGTAGGTGTGAGCATTCGCGTAAATGCGACGCGGCGACGCCTCGACCACCAGTTCAATTGGGATCAGCTGAGGCAGTTTCAGCTGAGAGAGGGAGGGTGGGTGGGCCATGGGATTACCTAATTCGTCTCTCAAATTCCAGCCTCCTTCCGCGACCCGTTTCTCCCGTTCGGACACTTTCCAAAGTTTGATAGTTTTGTCTAAAATTAAAATCCTTCCATGTTATTTGTCCATGTTAAACAATAAACTTTACCATTAGTGGACAGGAGAAAATGAGCAATGTTCTTTCTCTTTAGCCATCGAATCCTGTTGATTTTTTCTTCTATTTCCAAACTTTTCAAATAGTCGAACTCCGGCTCATGGCTCTGAAAGGTACTATATACGCTGTATTCCGTGTTCCGGTATCCGTTGATGAACTGATTCTAAAACGTATGAAAAACTGGAACAATCTAACAAAAAAGTTGCAACTTAAAAAATAAATCATCCAGATTATTTTTATTCTCATACACGCGTTTCCCTGTAATTGAAAGACAATTAGTCTGATTTTTAAAATACAACTTAAAAAATTAAAACTTTAAAAAGACACGTAAAACGTCCAACTTAAAGCAACAAAAAGAGGATCATCATAAACAGTCATGCCTAAGCAATGTATCATTCATTCTACAATCAACATCATGATAGATGTTTTCGTCCCATAGTAGTTTACCATCAGTCAACGACGTAACATAAAGCACCTAGCAGTATTTATAACCAACTAAATAATGCTAATAATATAATAATATTAACAAATAACTGAATAGAGAGCGATTATACGGATAACGCTTTGAAATGAACAGAAAGCGAATGCAACACAGCTGTAAGAATGCATTATGTAGCGCAGATTATTGAAAACCGTGTAACCATTGAATTTAAATCGTCCTTTAGTATCCAAGAGCTATGGGTGATTAACAGGCCATGAAATCTGGTTCTGCTATACTTTGGCATGCGAAACCATAACTGTGATCTACTTTCTCACTTGCATATCGAACAACTGCGACTTTATGAGGAAAGATGTCAG